CACCCTGGGGGGCACCCCCGGGGACACCCCTGTGCGCGGGGACACCCGGGGGGCACCCGCGGGGATACCCCTGTGCGTGGGGACACCCTGGGGGGTACCCTTGGGGGCACCCCTGTGCGCGGGGACACCCTGGGGGGCACCCCTGGGGACACCCCTGTGCCCTGTGCGCGGGGACACCGTGGGGGGCACCTCCTAGGGGACACCCCTGTGCATGGGGACACCCTGAGGAGCACCCCCGGGGACACCCCTGTGCGCGGGGACACCCTGGGGGGCACCCCCGGGGACACCCCTGTGCGCGGGGACACCCGGGGGGCACCCGCGGGGACACCCCTGTGCATGGGGACACCCCGGGGACACCCCCCAGGGGACACCCCTGTGCGCGGGGACACCCTGGGGGGTACCCTTGGGGGCACCCCTGTGCATGGGGACACCCTGAGGAGCACCTGTGGGGACACCCCTGTGCATGGGGACACCCTGAGGAGCACCCCCCAGGGGACACCCCTGTGCCCTGTGCGCGGGGACACCCCTGTGCGCGGGGACACCCTGGGGGGCACCCCTGGGGACACCCCTGTGCCCTGTGCACGGGGACACCCTGGGGGGTACCCTTGGGGGCACCCCTGTGCATGGGGACACCCCGGGGACACCCCCCAGGGGACACCCCTGTGCACGGGGACACCCTGGGGGGCACCTCCTAGGGGACACCCCTGTGCATGGTGACACCCTGAGGAGCACCCGCGGGGACACCCCTGTGCGCGGGGACACCCGGGGGGCACCCCCGGGGACACCCCTGTGCGCAGGGACACCCTGGGGGGTACCCTTGGGGGCACCCCTGTGCCCTGTGCATGGGGACACCCTGGGGACACCCCCCAGGGGACACCTTTGTGCATGGGGACACCCTGGGGGGCACCCCCGGGGACACCCCTGTGCATGGGGACACCCTGGGGGGCACCCATGCCCTCTCTGCATGGGGACACCCTGGGGAGCACTCCAGGGGACACCCCTGCCCCTGTGCACATCCCAGGGGACACCCCTGTGCATGGGGACACCCCGAGGGGCACCCCCCAGGGGACACCCCTGCCCCCTGTGCATGGGTACACCCCCGGGGATACCCCTGTGCGTGGGGACACCCTGGGGGGCACCCCCCAGGGGACACTCCTGCCCCCTGTGCATGGGGACACCCCCGGGGACACCCCTGTGCGTGGGGACACCCTGGGGGGCACCCCCAAGGGTCACCCCTGCCCCCTCTGTATGGGGACACCCTGGGGACACCCCAGGGGACACCCCTGCCCCCAGTACCTGGGGACGCCCCAGGCGACACCCTTGTCCCCTCTACACAGGGACCCTGCACTGGGACACCTCTTAGGGGACACCCCTGCCCCCTGTACCTGGGAAACTCCTGCCATGGGACCCCTATGGGGACACCCCCAGGGGACACCACTGTTCCCTCTGCCTGGGGACCCTCCCCCCCCAGGACCCCTATGGGGACCCCCTAGGGACACTTGCCTATTTTCCCCCCTGCTTCGTGTGGACCCTGCCTGGGGACACCCCTCTCCCCTCCCCCTYGGTGGAGACCCTGCCTGGGACACCCCCTAGGGGCACCCCCACCCCCTTTGCCCAAGGACAGCCCTTTGGGGACATCCCTACCCCCTTTCCCTGGGGACCCTGTCCTAGGACACCCCCTTTGAGGGCTGTTCACTCCTCCTCGCTCCCCGTTCTCCCCAGGGATCTTTCCCTGGGACTCCTCCCTGCCTCCCCACCCCCAAGGATTCCCTGAGACACGCTTCCCAAAGAGCACCCACTCACTGCTATGTTGGGGATAGCCCTCCTCAATGGGGTCACTGCTAGGGACCCCTCTAGGCACCCCTCTAAGTTCCTCCCCCTCCTGGATCCTCCTCTGTCCCCCYATCCTTGCAGAGTCCCTGTCACCTCAACGCAGGGTCCCCCTGTCCAGGACCCACTGCCCTACCTGCCACCCCACACTTCAGTGCCACCAGGATCCCCCCACTGGACCCCGGAGCCCCCCTGGGTCCTGCCTTGGTGCCCCTTGCTCTGCTGCCCTGTCACCTGCTTGCAGGGTCCCTCTGCTCCATCAGCCCTGAGCCCCCTGCACAGGGACCCCCTCACTGTCCCCCGTGATGCTCTGGGGACCCTCCCTGCCCATGCACTGCCCTGGGGGGCTCTTCCTCCAGCGCCTCCTCCTCCTCTCGCAGGCCTCTGTCCTCATAGACCCCCTTTGGCAGCCCCACCTCTGCCGCGGGGTSTGCGCTTGTCTCTGAGCTCCGTCCCTGCTCTCCTTCTCCATCCTTACCCTCCTCCCYGTCGGAGCCCCCAGGGTTGGGGGCTGCTCCTTGTCCTCTCCTGTCCCCGTCTCTCCCAGGAGACCGACCAGCTCTGGGGGACACTCCTGGAGACCCCAGTGCCCTCACTTGGCTTGCGACTCCCCTGCCACCCTCTGCTCCCCTTGGGGTCCCTCAGTGACACYCGAGGGCTGCCTGGGGTCCCCTTCTGCCACAGACACCCCCAAAGCGGGGCACCCCCTGCTCCCGGGGCTGCTCATCCCGGCCCCGCAGCYGGGAGCTGGAAAAACACCTGTGTCCTTGATGCCCCCGCGCCGCTGCCGCCGGGAGCTGCGGCTCCGGCGCTCCCTGGGGAGCTCCGCGGCAGAGCTGGGCCCCGCGGGGAGCATTGGGGGGCTCCGAGCTTCCCGTGCCCTTTCCAGGGACRCAGGCACCCTGATCCCTCCTGCTCCGTGTGCAGCAGCCGAGTGGGTGGCAGCGTTACCCTACACGGGTGCCCCCCAAACAGGGCAGCATCTGGTCCGTGAGCCCAGGAGAGTCCCATATGCACCCAGCCTTGTGGGGGACCCCGCGTGTCCCCCCACCCCCAGGAGGAGCTCCCAGAAAGGTGGGAAGAGGCCCCTGCATGGAGTGTGGGGTGCCCGGCACGGGCGCTGGCTCTGCAGCGTGTTCTCTCTATCCCTTTCCTGCAGCTACCCTCCAGCCTGGGTTATCTGCGGGCCGGGCTCGCCGCCCTCCCCGGCGCCGGGTCCGATGCAGCAGTGATAGGTGCATTTTAAACACATCGCAGCAGCAGGGGAAGCTCCGGYGCGCGGCACGTAGCCCCGCCGCCGTGCCATTCTGCACGACCGCAGCTGGGCTATTTACAGGCGCGCACAGATGCTGTGCCAACGTGCCAGGGTCCGGGGCAYGGCGGGGATTAACCGGAGGCGCTCGCGCCATCGGGAGAGCAACTCTGGGGCTCCAAGGCTGCGCGGGGGCTCGGCGGCGCCGCAGAGCTCCGCGCTCACGGCTTTAATTTTTGCCCGTCTCGTTAAGGGCCGAGGGCAGGGGGGGAGCTGCGGGGACACGCAGCCGAGCAACGTGCGCGCCGCGGCGCTCGCGCCCGGCCACGTGCCCCGGCGCGGGCTGCAAGGGCAGCCCTGCACGTTGGTGCCACGGGGCCCTGAGCTGCACGGACGGGCACTGCTGCCCCTCGCGCCCCGCGCCGGCCCCTTCTCTCCCCCGCGCGGCCGCTTTGCGCAGAGGGACGTCCCGGTTACACACAGGGAGTGGGACCTCGCGTCTCTTGTCATTATTTCTTTTCCCCGTGACCGTAGGCAAATTAGCAAGCTGCTAATGAGCTCCCAGGGTAGGCTGGGGCAGGAGGGGGAGGCGAGCGCGCAGGCAGGGATCCCGCTCTGCCCGCCTTGCTGCGTCCCTTGGCTCCTCGACACCACTTTGCTCAAATCCCATCTTTCACAAGCTGCTTGCCAGCTCTTTATGTTTAAAGCTGTTTGTTTTGAAGGCAGGAAGATGATTTAACAACTCAGACACTCTCGGATCATAGAAAGTGAGGAAATACTGCCCTTGGCTTTGGCCTCTCCCAGCAGCTCTCCACCCAGCATGGTCCTGGCAGCTCCCGGGACCCTGGGTCCCCCTGCGCCTGCACAGGTTGGCCGAGCGTCAGACCGGTACCTGCTTCCTACCGAAACCGCAGCTTGTTGGAGGTGTGGGGCAGCTGCACTGCGTCCTGCTGCCCGGGAGAGCCTTTCCCCGCAGCCCCGGCGTCCCGCGGAGGTGACATGGGGCCGAGCCGGTGGCAGGGTGACCTGTCCATGGCTGGGGCTCTGCGCGGGGGCCTGTTCCCCACAAGCAGCAGAAGCTGCTTTTCCTGTTTCCATCTGTGGAGCCAAGCTCCAACCTGTGGTGCTGGGTCCCCTCTCCCTCCACTTGGGGGTCTCATCTGACCCCTTGAGACACCCCCACATCTGCAGTGTGTTTGGGGGTCCTCCCACCCCCTAGACCTGCCCTTCGTGCCTTACCCAGGGCAGAGAGGTGCAGCCAAATCTCTCTGTTGTTGGGGCTTTAATTTCCCTAGCAGTAGCCATGGTTACAGACTGTTTGTGCAAATAACCGATATTTCCACCCACACCGAGTGCTGACCAGTATAGGCAGTGATGCCGAGGAGCCCGGGCCTTGGTGTCCCTGGCAGTCACTTGACTGACCCCGAAAGGCTCGGGTTTATCTGTGTGATTTGGAAGCTGTGGCGAGTGGCGTCCTCCGCTTTTTCCCTTTCAGTGCTTGAGCAAAAACAAATTCCTAGAGCAATGGAGTTGCTCAAGCGACTGCAAGCCCGTGTACCCTGCATGGGCTTGTAGAGTCTGCTGGCATGGCTCAGATTGCACCTAAACTCTGTTTAGGCTCTTGGACCTCTGTTTTTCTGTTCAAAAACTCATAGACACTTAAATAAGGCTGTATGGAGTGGTGAAGCCACCCTCATGCAACGCTTGCACTGCACTGATATCCTTCTGTTTGAGCAGAGCCAGCTGTGCTGAGAGGCTGTGACCCTGCAGGGGCTTTCAGTAAAGCCCTTTTGGCACCGCATTGGTGCTGTGATTTACTTCTCCCTGGCAGTTATAACAGCAAAGCTTAAGGTAAAGCTTCAGGTAGGAGGCAGCCGTTGCTGACTGCAGCTGCTGGGACTTCCCTTTAGGTTGGCTGCTAAATGTGCTCTTCATGCCTCGGCTTTTGGAGCCTGGTGAGAATCACCTGCTGGTAACTCAGGAAAACCCTGTCCCTTCCCAGGTTCCCCGCAAGCACCTGAGATATCAGTGCTGCTCACACCTGGGTCTCGTTGTGAGCCGTTCCCTGAGCTCCTTCCAGGCAGTGAGCTCCTAAAAACACAGCCCTGGAGCATCCCACTTGACAGCACCCTAAAGCATTTGAAGACCCAGCGCTGAAAGCATCAGCAGGCAGCGTGCATCACCGTGAATCATGTTTAATAGCAGTGATTACTGATACCCTGTGGAGCGACAGGTCCTAGTTAAACTCCTGTGGCATTTAATACCTCTGTAAAACAGGCCTGTTCCTTGTCTCTGTTGAGTTATGGCGTGGACAGTCTTTATTGTGTTTAAAAACCCACTCTTGCTCTTGTCCCTGGGTTAGGTGAGCGGATCCTGGGCCTCGCGGAGGAGCCGTGTTATCTCTGGTTCGTCATGGAGTTCTGCGAAGGGGGAGATCTCAACCAGTACGTGCTGTCGCGAAGACCCGACCCGGCGACCAACAAGAGCTTCATGCTGCAGCTGACCAGCGCCATTGCCTTCCTGCACAAGAACCACATCGTTCACCGGGACCTGAAGCCCGACAACATCTTGATAACGGAGAAATCCGGCACGCCGGTGCTCAAGGTGGCTGACTTTGGACTCAGCAAGGTCTGTGCTGGCCTGACTGCTCGGGGCAAGGASGGGGGGAACAATAACAAAAATGTGAATGTGAACAAGTACTGGCTGTCCTCGGCGTGTGGCTCTGACTTCTACATGGCCCCCGAGGTCTGGGAGGGACACTACACGGCCAAGGCTGACATCTTCGCCCTTGGCATCATCATCTGGGCCATGATCGAGAGGATAACCTTCATCGATGCCGAGACCAAGAAGGAGCTGCTGGGGACCTACATCAAGCAGGGAACAGAGATTGTGCCCGTTGGGGAAGCGCTGCTAGAAAACCCAAAGATGGAGCTGCACATCCCTCAGAAACGCAGGACTTCCATGTCTGAGGGGATCAAGCAACTCTTGAAAGACATGTTGGCTGCTAACCCACAGGATCGACCTGATGCCTTTGAGCTTGAAACCAGAATGGACCAGGTTACGTGTGCTGCTTAAATTCAGGGCAGGGCACTGCTGTGCTTTGCAGCTGGGTAAGTGATCYGCAGTTTCTGTATAATGCTGTCTCCCTTACCAGCCCGCTTATGCCTTCTGCAACGATACAAAGGAGTCTTTTATGTTCCCAGAGCAATTTCTATAGTGACTCATCGGGAGCACTGTTCCTGAGATTTTTATTCACCTTTTCTGCTGCAAAAATAAAATAGAGATGGAAAACAGAATTAGCAGCTGCACGTCCCACTGCTGCTGAAGCCTGAGTGCAGGCATGTGGGCAGGAGGCAGCCCTGCTCCGCAGCGGAGCTGGGCACTGGCCAGCCAAGAGGCTGGGACACAGCAGAGACACCCGGAGCATCAGCCCTGGTTTGTGCCTAGCTCCTGGGGCAGCGAGGGATCTGCCCCTTCAGTCTCCCTGCTCCTTGGTCCAGTTTTGGTCGGTGTTGAGGGCACCTCGTTGTCCCGCCTGGAAGGGGGTGATGCGTCTCGCCTCGTTTCCCTGCTAAATGCAGGACTTCCCGTTGGTGCGAGCTGCAGTTGCATAAGCGCCAGTCGGGTGCTTTGGTCTTCACCCTCCAAGTTCGGAGACACCAGTCTGTCCAGGAAGGAAGCTTACAAAACAGGCGCGCTCAGATTGTTCCCAGGTCAGGCAGAGTTTGCCCCTCGGGCTCCATTCCTAAGTAGTCCAAAACTTGGAGACTTTCTCTGCTGAATCCCAGCCCTGAGCTCCAGAGGGGTCACGTATGGCCTGGAAGGTCTGCTCGGGAGTAGGTGACAGCGTGCATAACCGGTGACACCATAGGAATGAGAGGTGTTGCCTTCATGGCAAAGCTGTATATAAACATGAGCTGTTACCAGGGATTCTCCTGGCCAAACACTTCAATGAAACTGAATAACTGCAGATTGCAAGAGGCCGGGCTGCTCGGAGAGCCCTGCTCGCTCTCGAGCCGCGGCGGAGCTGTCTTTAATGTTGCTGATCATAGGTCTTTGAAAAGTCTGGCTCTATCAAATGTTAGATTTGCAGCTTGGACTTCCCACTCCTTTCCTGAATCCGAAAGCAAAGAGATCCCACTGGATCCCAGTAGCTCGTAGGCACTGAAAAGCAGGAAGAGCTGGCAGGGCTGCTGGAGTCGGTGAGCAGCCAGCTTGGGAGAGCAGAGTCTGATGGGGACGGACAGGCCCTTGGGCAGGTAGGGCTTAAACCTCCCCGGTGCCCAGGGAAGGCAAATTCCTGGGCTTATGTAAGATGGATGTGCCGTCCAAGTGCTGTTCGGACGCACCGCTCCGGAATGTGCCCAGATAAGCTTTGGACTCCTCCCAGCACCCGTGGCTGTCCTGCCYGTGAGCTGAGCTCCCAGCTCTTGTCCCTTAACGTCAAGGGACAGTAATTCCTGGGGGCTGCTGCCCTGCCCTCTGCGTGAGCCCATAGCGAGGTGAGAATAGCAAGGATCTGCTTCCTGCTGCCTCCTCCTCGCCTCAAAGCACAAAATGCTCCAACGCCCTTAAGATCTTCACCGGGGCTAATTGCTGTGCCTGCTGCTGCCTGGGGCAGGGGCTGGGGGAGAATCTGCAGGGCTTCTCACTGGGTGCAATACAGCCTGGGGCAGGGGCAGGACCCGGGGGAAGGAGGGGGGCGCAGCCCTTGCTGGGCTGGGAGCTGCTTCCCAAATCYGTGCTCGGCTCAGCCGCTGCCATCTGTGCTCACTCGTGCTCCGCTAACGCGATGCTGCCGCCTTACGTAACGAGGCAGTGCCCTGCGGGGAGAGCTCGTCCTGCGCCGATCCGCGCGGCAGGGATAACAAGCAGCGTGGGGACAGTCCTGCCCCGGGGCTGTTTGCTCCAAACGCAGCTGCCCGTGGAGCCGGCTGCGCCCGTGGCCCGCGTCCTCGACGCGGAGCCGGCAGCRCTTGCGTAACGCAGTGGGCGCTGCGGCCGTTCGCTGCGCTTCCCTGCCGGGGCTTCTGTAGCTGCATGCTTGGCCGTTTGCGTGGAGCTGCATCCTCCTGCTGCTGGGCTGTTATTAAATGCGAATCTATACTGAGAAGCTTAAAATGGGATTGAGAGCAGCTCCTGGGCTCTCCCGTCAGGTAATTTAGGTTGACCTGGAAACTCAAGTGACCTCTGCTACATCGTTGTGGCGCTTGTGGGTGGCTTGTGTGGGTGCCGGGCAGCGCAGAGGGTTCCCCTTCCCCTGCCAGACCCCAGGCAGACTTGGTGCGTGGCAAAACCAGTAAAACCGCAACCCTCCCTGCTCCCGGCCATCAGGTTTTCACTAATTCCTCGGTATGTCACTGGCCTGTCCTCATTCTGCTTCGTGTCCTGACAGTCCCGCTGCAGGAACCTGCCAGTCAGCAGACTTCATAGTCGGCTGCCCCTCCAAATTGCACGCGTTAAATACCCAGTCSCAGCCAGGGCAGCGCTCTTGGCTCCGCTCTGCAGGACGAGCGGGTGATTGGGGTGCAGAGCGGGTCCCTGGGGGACACACGGGCCTCCCCTTTCCCTTGGGCACAGTGGGCTCCACATCTCAGGGATATCTGAGGCCCCACAAAGGTGCCTTTTGTGCACAGGGGACAAAAGCCATCCCAGTGTAATTAGCAAGCGCTTGCTGTGCTGGATACCTGCTGCTAATCTCTTGATTGCYGTGTGATAGCCCAGAGCTGTGACTGCGACTAAGGGCTGTTTCACCCCGCRTTTTACCCATGCAGGAAAACCTTCTGAAAGAAGCTGTGAAAAAGGTGGTTTCTGAGCTGCTCTGGTGCTGACTTGCGGTGCCAGGTCACCCTGCAGTGTCCCGGGGTGGGCACAGGTCTGTGCCCTGCTCCCGGAGGAGGCAGGGATGCTTTTCCAGCAGCATCTTCCTGATCCCCATCCTCATCAGGGAAGGATTTTGCACCCAGTCGCTGTCCTGTCCATCCCAGGGCTGGTCTCACGCTGCTCCCATCTCTCCTCCCTCCAAAGCATCTTGTCTTYGCAGTGTTGGAGCTCCGTGTCCCCGGGGAGGCTCGTGCCCTTCCCATCCGTGCGTGTCCCTGCCGGGAGAGGCTCTTTCCTCAGCATGGCCGGCGAGCCCATCACAACAGGAGTGAGTGGCAGCGCCTTCCTGCCGCCTGCTCGCTTAATTTGCAGCCAGTATCGGGTGAAATTAGGAATGATGATAACGAAATCACTATCGGGGGTTGTTGGCACACAGCGCAGATGCCCTGTCTTTTTTTTTTAAGCGTAAACAAGTGTCTGATTTAATATTTACGAAAGCCCGTAGCTGTAATTCCTGTAGGACGCGGGGCAGCGGTGGTTTTGCTCAGCAGGGGCAGCTTGTTCCCGTGGGTCGTAGCCYGTGATGGTTTTTGCTGTTGATGAAGGGGCTGGTCGGCCGCTCGGAGGGCRGCAGTCGGGGCCAGCTCGGACGTGTCACCTCAGGGGCTGCTTCCCTAGGGAAATGGCCAACAGCCTCCGGGCTCCTCTTCCTCCTGCCGTGGGTCCTCATCACCTCGGTGGCAGCTCAAGGTGCCCGTTTGCATTTGCTGTGTGTCTGTGTTGTTGCAAGGCAGCTGCATTGGTGCCGGGGGGCTGCATTTCTCTCTCCCTGCTTGCACCACTGCCCGGACTCTGCAGCCTGTGCCTGAGAGCAGCCTGGGCTGCAGCTGAGCACCGTTATTGCTGCTGTGCAGCTCGCTCGATGTGGAAGGCAGGARTCAGATGCATCAGAAATGCTGCTGGCCACAGGCAGCAAGGGAGCAGGGCGCTCGCCTGGTGCTGTCTGCTCCAGACCCCTCCAATCTTTTGGAATAAAGGTGCCCTGATACTGCTAGACAGGAACATGTGAGGAAAAGCCTAGTAGTTTCATTCCTGAATCCATGTTGATCCCGACTTCAGACTGTTTTCAGTATGGTTTGTGAGTCTTGGCACGGGCACTCCAAGCCCTGGAACAGTATGAAAGCAAGAGCCCTTGGTGCTCTTGGCAGCAGMGACGGCGGGTGCAGGCGGCAGCGTCCCGGGGCCTCCGCGCCGAGCGCTGCCACGTCCCTGTCCCTGCGGATCCGCAGYGGAGCCCGATGGGTGACACGGGTCCCGACACCCCTGAACCTTGTTCGCCTGTCCCCGTCCCACGCTGGGGTCGGCTGTGCAGCCCAGCGGGGAAGGTGCAGCGTTCCCTGCCTCCCTTGTTGCTGGCTCCCCGCGCCATCGGTGTCAGCTCCGTTAGGTGCTGGGGGACTTYGCGGGCTGCTGGTTCATATCCTGTTCATGCCAAACGGACATCCGAGCTGATTAAAACTATAAGTGGCATSAGCGGAGGGATTAAAAGCTCTCGAACAAGCCCCTGGAAGAGCCTGCGTCAGCGCAGGGAGCTCTTGGCCCTCGCAGGGCAGAGCTCGGGATTGCTCCGGGAAGGCATCTTCCCTGGAGACACTCCTGCTCCAGGGAGCAGAAGGGCTGTGCGACCTGCTGGTGAAACCTTCCAGACACAGGGCAAATGTTCCAGCAAATCTGCTGTGCTGGTGCCCCCGCTGGCACCCGCTGCCCCTCGCCAGCCGCCCTCCTCGAGCAGAAAGGCATTTTCCTGGTTTGCAYGGGGCCAAACGCCCCGTGAAACGGCACACATGCTCCTGGCTTCTGCTCCGAGCAGCAGAGGCAGCCTGAAAAAAATATATTACTGCAGCGTGTATTTCTTTAATGAGATTTCCTAGGGCTAAGGGATTTGAATAATTTGCTGGGCAGGAGTGGGTTTTCTCCAGCAGGTCTTTCCTGCTGCACTTGATTTCTCTGAGGAGCCACTTGGGTGTCCTGGGGGGCAGAGCTCCCCCGAGCTCCTGTAGACCAGAGCGTCCCTCTCACGCTGCTTTTGGGGTTTATCCACTGTAAAATGCATGTCACGGTCCCCAAGAGAAGGGAYGTTGCCCACACGCGTTGTCCCCCTGCTGCTTCCTTTGGAGCCAGGCTCTGTTTCTCTTGCTATTGACAGGAATTTGTCTGGTTTTGCAGAAAGCGAGGACAAGGACAAGGCCGCCGGTGACTCAGGCGCGGGAGGGCGGTTGGGTGGAGTGCTGCGTGACACCCCCTGGCAGGACGGGGAGGCTGCGGAGGAGGCTGCCGCTGGCCTCCTGCCCTCG